CTTCTCTATTTATGTGTTTGTTACTCTCGTCTAACACCTGTAATCCTAGGCACTTAATGACCTCATTGTGTTGCAAGTGCTGCAAAACTCTTACCACAAAATAAATTATGTATATGTATACATTTATTAATATGCTTTGTTTACCAAACCTTTCGTTTTGTCTGTCTGTTTCCAGCTTCCTCTTTCTTCCCGCGCACCTCTCTCTTTTCCCCCCAAAAGTTGTGATTTGCTCCTTCTCTGTTATCATACCATGTGTCGTCCTACTCTCTCTTTATTTTTCATGTTTATTAATTTCTAATTGTAACACCTCACATCTTCGGCAGGGATGTGGGTGGTTGGCGGGTGCTTTGGTGTGGTTTGCTCCTTCTTTCCTATCAAACATCTATCGCCCTGATCTCTCCTCCTTCTGTTTTATGCTTGTTACTCTCTTGTAACACTTCTAATCTACCGCACTTAAATGACCTTGTTGTGTTGCAAGTGCCGTAAAACGCTCACCGAAACTAGCCTAGCTCTGTGACAGTTGACGTGTAGATGAAGCACATCCTGGTCGTTCACTCCTCCGAGGTGTGACAAACTCATTACCAGCCTCATACCCTCCCCTCTCCTCCCCTTCCCCTCTCCTCCCCTTCCCCTCTCCTCCCCTCCCCTCCCCTCCTCCTCCCCTCACCTGTGCTCCGTCCCCATGCTGCACTGACCACCAGTGTAAAGCCACACAGCTCGAGCATCCACCCTGGACGATTGTCTCAGCACCAGCAGCAGGAACGTTCTCGTGTCCTCCGCCTTTCTCGGGACGGGAGGTAGGTATTCGTGCACGACATCACCTCTTTGGGCCGGGTAGGACCTGCGGACGTTCATCACCTAGGAAAAAAAGAGAAAGGCAATCCTCAGCTTGCAGTGTATGCTTCCCCTGGAAGCCGAGATTAAAGTGTAAAGCGCATAGAGCCAGCCTTTGAGTGGGGACATGTGCTATACAAATGCTATCTATTATTATTTATTATTATTATTAGAATGTTTCTGAGTCTTCTAGGGTCTGCTGGTGTAATTATGGTTGGTTGTACAGTGTATAGAGCTTGCTGTAGAGCGTGGATAAGCTCTAAATACATGCAATTATTATTACAATATTGGATTTTAGATTAGTTTGACAAGTAGTAGGTTTTATGGCACTTGCAACACAATAAGGTCGTATAAGTGCCGAAGATTAGAGCTATTAAAAGAGAGAAATAAACACAAAATCGAAGGAGGGGAGATAAGGAAAATAGATGTTTGACAGGAAACTCGTTGTAAGGTCTGATTTGGGTCGCTCCATCTTTCCCTTCGGGCATAGGCCTATATTAATTATCATGTGAGTACGATGTCCTTTTTAGAGAGTTATTAATTTGTGACAGTTTTGTTTTCATGAACACAGCTATTTCTCTGGTTACTTCCTGGCCTTACCTGCCAATGTACCACGACGTCGGGGTCAGAAACGTTCCGAATCGCGTCTGTGATATCCAGCAGCAACAAAGTATGCCAAATGCCTGAAGGGTAGACAGTAGACAACAACATAGTGTAACAACAGGGCGATGGCTCAAGAAGAAGAAGAAGAAGAAGAAGAAGAAGAAGAAGAAGAAGAAGAAGAAGAA